CAGGTCAGATAGGGAAGTCTTATCAATATTTTTTAATTATGTACACCAGGTTGGTTTTTTTTAATTTTTATATAAAATTAATATATTTATACATTTATTTATAGAAAGTTGGTCAATTGACTCCTACAGTTTTTATGTCAGACATGGCTGAACAATATTACACAGCTTGGAAGGAGGTGATGGGTATTGCTCAAATGAGGTAAAGACTCAAAATAATCAATGAATAATTTTAATCAATACATTGTTTTTAGATTATATTGTTCATGGCATGTCCTTAGAGCATGGCAAAAGAATATTTCCAAAATTTCTGGAAAAGATAAACAAGTAAGTAAATTAATATTCCAATTGATAACACTGAGAAATAAATCGTATGTTATAGATAGAGGTATTAAAAGAACTCAGAACAGTTCTCCAAGAGACTGATAAACAGGCCTTTGAAAAAATGCTTCCAAACTTTTTTTCCAAAATAAATGCCTGTCCTGAGACCCAGAAATTTGCAGAATATTTTAGTAATTATATGAGTAATTATCCAGCATGGGCATATTCTTACAGGGTCCAGGCTGGATTAAATACCAATATGCATTTGGAGAGACTTCATCGAACACTTAAATATGTTTATTTGCAAGGGAAAAAAGTTAAGAGGTTGGATAAGGGTATTAATGCACTGATGAAGATGGTGAAAGACAAACTTTTTGATCGTCTGATAGTCCTTAATAAAGGAAAAATCAGCAAGAAGATTGCAGACTTAAGATCTCGCCACAAAATCAGTCTGGAGCTGTCTTCAGAATCAATAATAGCAGTGGATGGGGGCTGGAGTATTTCTTCTTCTAGCAGAACTGATATACAGTGCTTGCAAATCCAAGTCCGACCGGTTTGGGAAAGACGCGTGAAAATAACAAGGATAGAACGCCAAACAGAAGGCGCTTACAATACGCACGCCTGACGCTCTGACCAATCAAATTCTGTTTGGCATTCTATCCTTATTCTTTTCACGCGGGTATTGAACAACCATCCTTTCCAACGCGGTCGGACTTGGATTTGCAAGCACTGTATATAGGATTGAGGAGTCTAACATAAGCTGCCAGTGTCAGTTATTATGCACGGATTGTAAATGCTGCATTCATAGGTATTGCTGTTCATGTATAGACTCAGCCATCAGATGGAATATGTGTAAACATATTCATATTCTATGCCGATGGAGAGATGAACAAGGAGACTGTACTGTAAGAAATCAGGAGTTAGTTCAAGGTATAAAAAAATTATAATTTGGGGCCCTTAGAATAAAAGGGGTATTAATGCAGTTGGCCTGTTAAGCAAAAATTCATTATCTACAATATTAAGTAATAGGTAAAGGACAAAAGATAATTTTTATTGTTTTTATTTTTTTAACAATAAAAATAATCTTTTGTCCTTTATAACTTAATATTGTAGATAAGGCATTTTTGCTTAACAGGGCTTCTGGACCTTTTATTCTAATGTCCCTAATTGCAAACAATATTGAAAAGAACAGTATGGTTTCCATACTGGTATGAGACGTTATTATTAAGGAATATTTGTTTTCATTTAGCAACAATCATTGGAATCTGGATGAGAATTCTTCCCCCAAAGAGAAGAGTAATGTATTTTGAATTTTTATTGAATGTTTTAAATATGAATTATTTATCATTTGGTTGGGTTTTACTTAGGTGTTGGTCATGGTGGATGTGACATAATTTTGTACATATCATTTGGTTGGGTTTTACTTAGGTGTTGGTCATGGTGGATGTGACATAATTTTGTACATAGGCTTCAAAACCTTTTTACATTTATTTTTATTGAGTAGGTTTTAGAAAATATAATATTTATAATTTTTTTACATGACCCCTCACAATAGATTTTAAGTTTATTTTAATTTAAATGTATTTTTATTTTCTTATAGAAACAGATGATTTAATTGTGGATTTACCACTGTTTGATGAAGAAGCTACTATCATAAATAAAGTTTCAAAGCCAGGTGGTTCAAAAGATTCCCTTGAGGAAGAAAAGGATAAATTAATATCGAAATTTAATGGTTGGATGGAAAAAATTAATTCATTTCAACAGATTGATGCAGTTAAAAATATAATAGCTCCAATTTCGCCGACACTGGCTGCAATTTCTCAGAACCCACAGCAGTTTTCCAGTAAGAGTACATTTCAACATAATAAACATATTGATGCACAGAAAAGATTGTATTCAACTCACAGAACAAAGTGTTCTAAAAAGCTCAAGTTTGAAAGACCTAATGAAGCTGAATCTGTGTCAATTGCAGCATCCTTAATGTTGGAGGAGAATAGAATAGAATAGAAAAAGGTTTGTAATTTGTTTGTAGTGTCATTTTTTTTATTTTATTGCATTTTGTATATTACAGACCTTCCATTAACATCCCAATTTCGGCGTGGATTAGGCCTATAGGGGAAACCACCTTAAAAAAAACGCACCTACGGCTCTACCTCTGGGGTGGTGCGGAAAAGAGTTTTAATGTATTCCAAAGAAGACATGATGTAACTTTTCTATTTTATCAATTAAATAAATAAAAAAAATACCTTTTGTGTTATTTTTAGTGTTTTCCTTTTTATTTTTAAACATTTTCTTTATTATTAAATCAATGTAAATGCAAAGATTTACCAAAATTTCTTAAAATGTATTTTTTTTAATAAACTATTTCATTTTATTTTTGTGTCCATAAATTATTAGGTATCCTACCTACATTAAATTTAACTGCAAATTTATAATTATCTAAAATAGGTATCCCTAAAAATATAAATAGAATAACTTTAATTCTGTTTTTTTATTAAAGCTATTAATAAAATCAATGCCTTGGGAAAATTTTTGAATATCTTATTAATAAGTACAGTTTAATAAAAAAAACCGAATTAAAGGGGCAAGTGGACGAAGAGGTTAACATGTTTAATAAAAAAGAAAAATGTGTGATTACTTTTACTATATTTTTGTCCTTAATTAATTTTAACATTTAAATACACACCGAAAATAGAAATTAATGTCTAGTTTTAATGATAATTTGTTATTTCATAGTTATCTATGGTTAAAGTTAATATAACAGCTGTCGAACCAGAACATGCATTATAGATTACTACTAGTAATATTATTTAAGGGGATAATAATTTATGAACATAAATAAGCTCAAATTAATTGTATTTAGAAAAAATACATTTAAAAAAAAATTGGTAAATCTTTGAAACTGAAGCCTGTGAGTTAAAAATGTTGGTGTCTGTAGTGGAAAACCACTGTACGCTCTGAGATACTGCAGTGTCATGGAAATGCCAGCTAATATTCCTTAACTGCATCAATCTGTTTAAATGAATTGATTTTTCCATCCAAACAATAAATTGTGCTATTAATATGTCATTTTCTAAATGAAGAGAATCTTTCGAACTGTCTGGCTTTAATAATAACTTCTTCATCAAACAGTGGTAAATCCACAATTAATTCATCTGACTAGGTATAAGTGCAAAAATAGTTTGTATAAACTTTATAAGTAACCAAAGCCACTTCATTTAGTAAATATGAATAAAATTGACAAGCATGCCTATATAGTTACGTTAGAAAATTCCAACTCTGTTTTTTTTAAGCGTTCCATCAACGGTTTAAGCTTGTATTTTGTCAATGATTAGGCGTTAACACAAAATATTGCTATTCGAATTTTAGAAGTTCTTCAAAATTCAAAATTGACATTTGACAGAAAATTCACTAAAATCATAGAAAAAGACTAAAATATCCCTAGAAATATCCCCAGATATTTAAAAAAGACCGAAAGTTGCCGAAGGTCGCCGATTACGGTTCATTTATGACTTCAGCGGCTAGACGCTAGTATATTGAACCAGATAGAACCATATAGATTTTTATTTTGTGTTTCTATATGGCATTTTTAATAGGGAATGTACTATTTAAAATCATACAGTTTCTAATAAAACCTCACGGGTTACTTTGAAAACAGCAACATTTTTGTCGCATCCGTGAGTAGTGCCAGGAACTATTATAGCTATGCTCACTAGTGAACAATATTCTGCACATATTACTTTCAAAAGTTTATTGAGTAGATTACTGTTTTGAGCATGGTTACTTTTTTATTTTCTTCGTGTACTTAAAACAATTACCTAGTTTATGAAAAGCAAATTAATACATTGGACATTTAAAATAAAAAATGTGCTGTGTACAACAGGACATGGTGGTCTTTTTTAAGATTTGTTAAAATTTATTTTACAGTAATTTTATTTACCTACGATTAAAAAGCTTTAAATAATATAAAGAAAAAAAACTTACTTCTTATTTTAAAGAATTTTGTTAACAAAGCCCGATCTGAGAAAAAATATTGTTTTATGCTTAAAATTCGATATTACACATTACATTTTGTCCTCTGGTTAATAACCCTGTATAAGAATTTAATTAGAAGATTTTGTCAAATCATTTTTTTATTAATAATATTATTGTTGCGCAGTTTTTTATAGAAGGACTCTATATTCATAGGTACTGGTTCAAAAGTCAAATTATTATTAAACTAATTTTTCCCCCAAAATATCTAGTTAAAAACCTCATAAAATTGATTCATTAAAAATAACTGTAAGTAGTTTAAATATAATAAAGTCTTAGGTTATAGGTAACATGAAAATTATTATAATTAATTTTCAATGCAATGAAAATAATTGATTAAACTGCGCATAGATAGGTATTTCTTGCATAAAAAACTGCGCTACAATATTAATAAAAATAACAACAAATTAATGACAGTTTTATGTTAATGCGACAATTGTATTGTAAAATGTTAAGTTGTATAATCTGTGATGTTAACGGTGAGTTTTATGAAATAAACTAAACTTTAAATTTTCTTTTCTAGTAATGGGAAGTATTTTACAGGGGCTTTAGAGAAAAACAACCTAAAAATGGCCTCTTTTGTGGCATATAACTTGTAACAAAAATAAATGATATCAGTAAAGCTTTTAATTTTGAAATAGTGTGGTTACCTTGGTCTATAAGTCTTGTTGCATTTGGCAATTTATTTTGATCAATCGATATTTTCTCTGCCAAGAGCTCCCGTACGTATTCCCCGGCTTTATTGTTGGCTGGATTTGATTCATCGTTGTCCAAATCTATGGAGTCCGGTCCCTTGTCACCTGCACTTTTTCTTTTAGCGTTTTCACCGTACGAACCGTAATCTTCGTTCGAATCGTATTTGTCGGTCATTTTACCGTGTTTTGTTTACGTTTTTATTAACCAGAGATAACATATACAAAACCAACCCTCAAACAGCTGCAATGGCCAGGGACTGAACGACGCGCATGCGTCGACCCATGCAGAGCTAACTTGATCCAGTTGAAGATAGATGGCGGTACATTTTTAATTTTTAAAATTTGAATTTATTTTTATTGAGTTTTAAGAATAAAGCTTAATTTTCATGTATCCGTTTGTCCGTCATCCGTTTGTACGTTTTTCAATAAAATCGTCCGATAAGAAATGTTCTAATTTTCATGCATGTATGCACGTCATTAAAAAACGTAGGTATACCTACGTTTTTTAATGACGTTTAACGGATTGATTTGGCGACAAATAGAAATTAAGTGTCAGTATATTCACTTTACTAAATTTACCTAATGCTTAATTGTCATAGTTACATAGTTCAGTGGTTACAATTATGTCAACAATTGTAACTTTAAGTTAGCTGTCTAATAAATTTTAAGGTAGGTAAATATACCTTATAAAAAGAATATACTAGCCTTAATTTACATTAAAATGTATAGTTTTAAAAAGGCAGGTCCTTTTACCCACACAACACCTAATATTGCTAATATATTGAAAAGCCGTTTAAACGCCAATATTGGTAATATAATATTTGACAAATATTACATTAATATTTATCAGATTGCTATAGCTTGTTGTTTTCTAAATATTGTATAAATGATTTATTAATCATTTGGAAATATTCAAATGTAGTATCCGTTGAGTTACGAAATATGACGGAAAAGAACGCGGGAAATCATCATTCCCTTCTTTATCTCTGCATCATTGAGCATCCATTTTGCATATTGGTGAATTTTAAGACTAATTCTTAGACCATTTAAGGTGAATACAGAACATAAGAGGTGAATAATAAAAGGTGCAAAACGATAAAACTATATATAGTGGCTGTATCTTCACAAAAAGGTATGTACCTACACATATTTTTTTCTTTAAAAGAAAATAAGAGGGGAAAATAGAGTTAGCGTGCCTACTTGTTGCTGAATAATCGAATTAATATACTATTTCCCAGATAGCACAAGAGGTACCCAGGACGTCCATTTCGGGTCCCACATTGGTCCGAACGTCCCAGACCTATATCGGAAGTTTTGGGTACGTCCAGTCTCTTACTTATTTAGGAAAATTAAAGCGGATATACTCGGTACGTCCCAAGGACGTAATTTTTGTTTTTGGCATTTAAGGCTTTTCAGGTTATTTATCTGTCAAAGTATAGTCAACGAAAGAAATAATATTATGTTTAGGCGTTAAAAATGTATAAATCTATATAACATTACAATACCATGGTTGGTATAAGAATTTAGGAATAGAAATACTGCATTTAATGAAATTCTAAAGTGTACCTATGGTGCCAAATAAGTAGGTAATATTTTTGTGCATTTGTTCCAAATATCGGGTTTTCTCCATAAAATAATTTTAAATAAACAGCATTATTGAAAAAAAATCTAGCTTCTCTATTATGGAATAAGTATATCTGTATTAAACGTAGGTTATTATTTTATAACAAAAATATCATCTAATTTTGTAATTTTAAGGTTAGACAAATTTATTTTTACCAAAATAAATAAGTATTTTGGATTATTTGAAAGACTGTATAATATGGTATTTAAAAATGTGGTAGTTTTTCTAATCCAGCTTAAAGTGTAGGTACCTACATAAAGTTTTGTCAATACAAATAGTTATATAACTATTTGTATTTATATAAAGCTTCAACTGAATTTGATCTACATTAAAAAATCATAACTTTAAAAATTTTAATAAATCACATGTCATGGGAGTATTACATATTTTCACATTGCAAGTTTCTCTAAAAATTGTTTGTTTTCTTATAATTTAACTTAGGTAGGTATGCCGAGAGGTATGAACAAGTTTTGTCATTAGAAGTATAATTTATACTGTATAAAAGCTTCTATTTAATTTGAACCATATTGCCGAGAGGTATGAACAAGTTTTGTCATTAGAAGTATAATGTATACTGTATAAAAGCTTCAATTTAATTTGAACCATATTCTACAATTATATAGTATATACCTATATTTATTAATGACCATATTAACAGACTCTTCCAAATAATCCACTTATTTATTTTGGTCAAAATAGATTTTTCTAACCTTATAATACAAAATCAGATGATATTTTTTGTTCTAATACATAACCTACCTTTGATACAGATATTCTTATTTCATAATAGAGAAGTTAGATTTTTTTTAAATAAATGTGTTGTAGTTAAAACTATTTTATGGAGAAATGTAGACCCAATGCACAAAAATATCACTTATTTGGCACCATACACTTTAGAATTTCATTAAATGCAGTATTTATATTCCTAAATTCTTAAACCAACTATTGTTATTGTGATACTATAAAGATATATTAACTTTTAACGCTTAAACATAAGCGGTAGCACTATAAATATTATTTCTTTCATTGACTATACTTTGACAGATACATAACCTGAAAGCCTTAAATGCCAAATTTTCAAAAGACTGCGTTCCGTACCTAACTATATGTAGGCAACCCATGCATACCTCTCGCCTCTGTAGCACGATAGATAGTCCTATAAAGGTGGAATGCCTTAAGCTGCTAAGTAAGAATTTCTTACCATCTGGCCAAATTACTGACCATACCGCTTCTGCTTGTAAGTTTTGAAGGGACACAGCTGGTCCTGTGGCCCACTCTGCGAAAAGTAAGCAGTGGGCTCCACTACTTACTTTTAGCAAAAGCTTTTAATAAAATTTAACATTTAAATGATTTAATGTTAAACAGCACTATTTTTGAGAACCAAGACATGTCAATTTTGTACCTTAAAGACGTCTAAAATGGACGTAAAGACGTATTAAAGATGTCTTAGGAATCGTCTTAACCATTAATGTGACATTCCAACGTATTATATACGTAAAAAATCACGTATTTTGGTGGAAATATTACCAAAATGTCACGTGTTTATCACGCTTTTCTGTTTACTGGGAGTCCCCAATAAAGTATTTCAGGACGGCTAGAGGATGTCTTACTTAGGACGTTCTGGGGACCGACGATTTGGTAACATCAGATGTCCCTGGTACGTCCTGCGGAAGGTTCAGGACCTGATTCGGACGTACTCGGGACTTACTAATGTCTGATACAAGATATACTCAGGACGTTTCCAGTACTTCTTTGTGCTATCTGGGTTGTGAACTGTTTAAAATTGACTCTCCTGAAAAGTTGCAGGTCATTGAAGAGTCTCTTGAGGATGCAAATTTGCGAACGAAATTGGTAAGAAAAATAAATCATTAAAACTTGACATTTCAATTTAACATTCTAGGCCAAAAGATTCTCCATGGTTGGTGGTGAGGCACCGAAAGAAGTAACAAGATCAGTTCTGTACCTACTTAATGGTTACCAACAAATTGGCCGCACAGTACAGTTTTGATGGAGGAAGAGGAAAACTAATATTTAAAACTGTTCCAGTTACTGTTAGGTAATTTTAAAAGTTATAATAAAACTTTATCTGATATATTAAAGGAGCTAAGGCAATGGTTGGCTCAAGCTCCGTTCAGGAAAAATGAAAAATAATTATATAGAAAATTAGAATGAATAGGAAGCACTGTTCCAAAAGAAGTGATTTTTTTTGTTAAACATGTAATGTATTTTTGTTACCTACATTTATATTTTTATATAAATAAATTATTTTTAGAAAATTTTAATTTTTATGTGAATTAATTCCAATATTTAATAAACATTAGTAATATCTTTTACTATTTAATAAATATTTTGGTAATATTACTAAAATATGCATAAATATTTGCAAACCAATTTCCTCAATGTTTTATTAATATTATATCATAACATTTCTACAATAGAGGTTTTGGGACATCTGAATGTTGTAGGAATATTGAAATAACATTAGGCATTGGGTAAACAATGTTTATCCAATAATCATATCAATGAACATTAATATACTGGCAATATTTTTAAAATATTTTTGTGTTGTGTGGGTAGTTCTAGTTTTAATTTTTTTGTTTGTCCTTTCCTTCTTTCCGTTATTCTTATTAAATAAAAAACATAAAAGTAGAACTTTATTTACATAACGAACGTTATATTTCCGTTTTACAATCTTATTAAAAGAATATGAAAATATTTGAAAATAAAGTATCTTAAAATGACGTTAGGCGTCAAAAACAGATGTGTAGTCACAGATTAGTTAAAATTATTTTAAATTTCCCCGTCAGACGTACGAAGTTAAAACTTGACGGACGGAAAAAATGTCATAATTTTTTAATTATAACACAGTACGACAAAATTTGATTTTTGGTCCCTCCCATGAAAAATTTCTACAGATTCTAAAAATAGAGTTAAAAAAATGATACCCGTGTCTCGGCGTTTTTTCACATCACGTCATAATTTTTTTTTAAGGGCTATCCAATAAAATGTTATTCACACTATTCGCGACATAATTTAATAGACTCGATAACAGCTGGACTGCATAGTTAAAAATATATATATTTACTAAATGGATAGGCAACCATTATAGATGCATTTTAAAATTATTTTAATCTTATACAGAGTTTTGTAAAAATTGAGCTTTGTTGAATTAACATTTTTAAAAAAAATTAAAAGATATTTAAATGAATTGATTTAAGTCTTAAAGCAAGTGTACCTAAAACATATTTAATTTAAGTAAAAAAAGTATTTAAGTATACAAAGTAAATTGAAACAGCAAAAAAACAAAAAATTTACACATCTGCGGCATTTATACATAAAAAGCATTGTTTTCAAAACAATCTTTATACGAGGGTAATACTTTTTTTTTAAATGTTAAATAAAAACATTATTGCAGCGATAAATCGATAAATTTTTCATATTAATTTTGATTGTTGAGTTAACCATCCATTTGAAATCAAAGTAAAAATGCAGTGTCCGAATCGAAATAATTTTTGTTATGTATGTGGTTTATTTGTACCTCCAAGCCATATGCGAAATATTACAAAAAGTGTAGTAACAGCTTTTGAAGACTATTTTTTGGTGACGTATATACCAAACTTATGGTATGTACCATAGGTTTTATGCGATTATTGTTACCGTTGTTT